TTGAAATTGAGATCATCGAAAACTTAGTCTATTCATACTGCCATTTTAGTTTGCAAGATAATTCAGTCCAACGCACTTCGTGCAGATGTCAACTTTAAGCGAACTTCATAGAGGAGTAAGGAATTTGTTTTAAATCTATCATTTTCACAATTCAGGTAAGTATTTGGAAGAATTAATCCAGAACTAAGCGCAACTTTTTGTGCGCATTAAATGTTCAGTTTTTACTATAGGTGGCACTGTAGCTCTCCAGTCTGTCAATATTTTTTTCGGGGAGCTACAGTTCTGCAGCTAGAATTAGTTATGAGGTCCCTAGCGATTTTTTTGTAGCAATACACCAAAGACCTGTTCATCAGAGAGAGCGCTCGTGAACATATTTATTGAAGATATAAGGAATTTCACGAGTGTTTGCAAACGTTCGCTCAGTTGAACAAGCCTCTGGTTTCATTGTCAATGTGTTTACCTATTCCTTGTTTACTGGACGTTACCACGAGGTTGATTTTACTCTGCTCCAGCTCATGGCGAAGTGGATTTATTACAAATCTATCATCTACATATCCAACCCTGACAGCCCCTGCAAGAAAGAAGAATCAAATGTATACTAAGCATTCAACACAGATTGAAATATAAGAATCTTAATGACCTTGAACTTGGAGATAAAACCGAGTGATAGTGAATACATAAATGAAAGCAGAGCATACTTCCGCATTCTTATGTACTTGTGTACATGCATCTCCATTTTAATTGTCACAAGATAAGACAAAATAACAAAAGGTCAAGTTTATCTCTTAAGAAAAACAATTTGTTCTCAAGCATCTGTAAAGAGTTTAATAGTTAACTAATACATAATTTTAGAAAAATAAAGACAATAACAGACCTACAGGACCGTTCCATTGATACTGTACAGAGGACACAGCTATGGCAGCTGACGCTGTATACAATAAAAGGAAATATACTATAAATTAATTAAAAAGCTGAAATATTCGTTTAACCGCTATCCGATTACCGGTAAATGGAATCCACTGTAATATGAAAACAATCAGATATTCTCATATCAAGTTAGAAATATTACTAAACATTTCAGAGAATTAAATTAACATACTGGTATGTTTACTATTTTGACTTGCTACAATTTTTTCACAATGGTAAATAAATAATTTATCTAGTGATTGAAGAAAACATGAATGATGTACAAGTACCTGCATTGATGCTGAGAATTGTGGGATCATTTTCTCCATCAACTGCTAAGACATTACAACACACCTAGCGAAGAATTGTAAACAATAGGCATGAAAAATAAATAAAATTCAAGCTTAAAAATAAATAAATAAAATGCAAAATTCTTCTTTATCAATTAACATATAATAAGGCTTAAAAAATTTCAAATTGTAAACAATGTGTACCTGAATTTCCCTGCTGCTTTCATCTTGAAAAAGAGGTCTTATTGATCGATCTGCAAAATTAGAATTGTTAATGAGTGTTTTAAACCTTCCACACCAAAAATCTAAAGTTTACTATTTTTTCTATATAATCAACAACATGATGTTGTATGTCTGTTTTATGATATTTGTACATTTTTACCCACCTACAATAGGGAGAGGGCTAAAATAGGCTGATCGAGCCTGCTGCCCAATCCTATTCACCCTAAGATCAGTGAATAAAATACTGTTTAAATTAATTACCCACCTACAACACGACTGGTGAGGATTTCACTCTCTGATGGACCCCGCTCTCGACGGAAATAGTTCATAGGAATCCTCCCAGCTGCTGCCGCTTTCAGTCTGTAATCTACCTGTAATGTACAAGCATCAAAGGGAAAGTTAAATAGACCCTGAAGAAGTCTCTTAATTGTAAATATTTATCCAGTCACAAAAAAAATAATTTTTATATCAGGTTACAGTTGATTTTAGGTGTTTAACATATGTATAAAAGTAAAATTTACAATGCACTTTCTAAAAAATATATGTCGCTTCTAAATCTTCAATTTTTTTTGCATTAAATAAAGGGTAAACATTTAATTTAAATCTACATGTATAGTGTTAAACAAACATATACAATGAAAGCTGTCACACATATTTTAGAAAGATCCCCCCTCCAATTCATGTTTAAAATTAGTTAAAAATTTTCTATTAATATTCATAAATGTTCAATGTTTGTTTCAAAGATATTTAGCTCAATTTATGACATTACAATGAATGTAACGATCAATCTCAAAATAGTGACATGAGTTCACATGTTTAAGAGCTAAGGGGAATGAAACCTACAGCATATTTTACTGTATCAGAAGGGTCAGTCTTATACATGATATAATAGTGATGTAATGGACACACTCACAGTCAGAGGAAGAAATGAAGATGGCTGGGATAAATTTTTTGTCACTGCTGTTACAAGAACACTGGTTTCACCTTGCTGAAACAAATTGAAAAAAAAAAAAATATATATATATATATATATATATATATATATATATATATATATATATATAAAACTGTTTGTAATTCAATGTGTTCAAAAGGTCTGATGAACAAGAAACACTCCAGGTAAATGGAAATTTATAAAATCTGCAGATCACATGATATTTTTATACCTTTATAACTGCTGCACCATCTGCAAATTTGGCCAGTTTCCCTGTCTCTATTGTAAGTGTTCTAAACAACAGAAAAGAAACGTAATACAGTATTAAGTCAGCAATTTTTAATATTTCCAGGGCTCGACATTAACTTTTTTTCCTACTTGTCCATTCGGACAAGTGACCATTTCACCAAGACATTTACTTGTCCGAATCTCAACTTCACTTGTCCGAAAATTTTCAATAAAGTTCAATAGTTTCAACTTGAAAATTAAAATTAAGTCCATTTTATTTACACATGTCATGCGCTTGATTGATTCTTAATGTTATTGATATATACCGGTACAACAGACACATAAAACGAAATTTAATTTAGGCTTTCTGTCCTGACAATAACGTAAATGTCCACAAGTGATTACCTGTCAACATCAAACAATATTCACACTTCGGTTCGTATCTTCCATGACTTTTCATTTTAGTATGCAATTAGTGAACTTCGATCCCGATCGAATGTGAACACAATATTAATATAGCGATACATATCGGGATCGATGTTAGGATTTTATGTACAGCTTCCGTCTTGAGACTACCGATTTAGCTTTCAACAGTCGCTCTTTTTATTTTTTAGAGACCCCTTTACATTAAAATGCACTTGTCCAATCGGACAAGTGCTCAGCAATATTCAATTGTCCGAATTTATTTTTCATTGGTACCGGACAAGCGGACAAGTGTTAATGTCGAGCCCTGATTTCAAGAAACATTGTTATTTACATCACTGCCCATAGCTTTATACTTTCAACCTTTTCTACAAGCATTACCATGAATCAATCATTCACTTAATATGTTGACGGTGCGACCGTTAGAGCGACCGCAACCTCTTCTATTGTTTTAATTTAGATCGGGCTCGTCAAACCGCACGTGACATTTGGTGCGTCTAGACTCTGACGTCACATGACATCGTATGTAAGTTACAAATACCAAGAAAAAACTGAACAGTGCTGAAAGTTAATGAAAAAAGTTACGTTTACTGTTTATCTTCAATATGTATCCATTTAATCAAGACGAGTAAACTTTTTGTTGAACATTTGCCGTCGTTCTCGCAAAAACGCAACTTTGCTAAGTGATGCATTGTGGGACAAAATTACTGCAGCAAAGAATTCTAAAGAATGAATGTGCAGTGGTCCGAATTTTCTCTTCGCCCAGGCATTGTCATTAGAGCTCGCAGTTACGAGTGTCGCTTCGCGACACTCGCTATTAAGTGTCAGTTAACTTCTCATTTACTAATTATAGCGAGCGCAGCGAGCGTCGCGAAGCGACGCTCGCGAAGCGAGCTCAATAGACTAATGTGTATGAACAGAGGAAATTTCTCTGTGCAACCTTCCCAGAATTCCTGCACTACCCAATGTCCTTTGCGCGAATAAATCAAAAATATTAAAAAATTTAAAGGAACATTGTTTCTTACCGAAATCTTAACGAAATTATTTTGCCTTATCTTATTCAAAAAAATTCCCCCATGCCACAACACCGGCCTTCACCTTGCCCTTCGGAAATGATGCAAATGACGTCACCGGAAACTTACGAATTTTGACGAAGTTATGTCGGTTGCTTCCGTGAAACTCAGCTAAAACATAGCAACAATTTACATGAAAAGAACGATTTAATGCAATCTCTTTTCCATAAAACTAGCGTTTGCGTTCTCAGTCAACAGAACTTTTTTTCTCATTCTGACGTCAGACTTTCGTCACTTCAACGGTTCGGGTATTTCCGATTTTGTCGGAAACTTCCGAGAATTTTCGAATTTCGATCCCGATGCTTGGGAAATGATTTCTTTTTGTTGTTTTGTTTTATTTGTATTATTTCTTTTTCTTGAATGATAGACAGTACATGTGTAGGTTTATGATAGTTAATAAACTGCGCTCGCCCCAACGGTCACACCGTAAAACATATTATTTGAAGCAATATAAAAACTTAATTTGCAAAAATTAACGTCATGTGGTTTAGCTCATATACCGCATGATAACATCAGCCAGAATTTTCTCTAAGAATGATTACCTGTTTCCAAGATTCACAAATGTTTCAAATGTTGATTGAAATCGTTTAATCACGCCATACCACTTGTATTTTAGCCATTTCTTTGATGGCACTTGAATTAATTTGGACATTGTTTTGATATTTAACTTCTTATTGATGTTTTCATCATCTTTCACGTTGACGGCCAAAACAAGGGCGCAGACATTTTGAAAAAAATATGATAGCTTGAACATGAAGTTATTCGAGTTGTTTTTATCTCAGTCAGATTTCCTTTTTTATCTCAAATGCTATCTTTTAACGTTCGCATTTTAAAATATTAGTTTTATTTTTGATTATTTTAATCAAAATTTATATGAAAACATAAGTCTTTGTCCTTTATATGAAAATACGAATAGATCGGTCATTCAACTAATAAACGTTTTTGAAAGCGCGCGAATTTTGTATAGTGCAGCGATATTTTGACATTTGTGGACAAAATTGAGGTAAAGTATTGTACAGAATTGCAAAATACACAAATAAGCAATGTTTTCTTTATGTTAAACAAAGAGATTATATTATTACGTTACATTGAGAAAGTCGTCTGCTATATTGATGTTGATATTGGGCAGGGAAGTGTCTATCGGCACGACGGTCGTGCCGATAAATTTCGTTATCCGCACGACGGTCGTGCTAATAACTGTTCTTATCCGCACGACACAAGAGAGATAACTCTAACATTAATTATATCAACGCTGTACGCTGTTGGTGGGGGAAATTATATATACATGTACAACGAACGTACACTTTTTACCCCCAACCAACGAACGTATACTTTTCACCCCAACCAACGAACCAAAGAACGTATATTTTTATTTTATTCTTCGTCGTGTCTAAATAATTTGACATATATTTTTAAATATTATTCATCCTTTGTATTATTTAATTCTTGGGTATTTTTCTAAGGTTATGTTGATTGGAGCAAAAATTATATATATTATAGCCTGTACACAAATATTATTCTCATAATAATATACTTTCCTGTATTTACGGTCTTAATTAGTATTTCCCTATATTTTAATTCTCTCTCTCTCTCTCCTAGCTATTCCGAATACTTCATAAAAAAATTATAATATGGGTAAAATATTATGTCGAATTTTCCGTATTATTTTTTGAGACTTGTAAGTCCCTAGGTGCCGCTGAAATTGTGCACGTGAATTGCGCCCACAGTCGAGAAATTGACCATGCGGTAAGTAGAACTGCGATAGTTTGAAGGATTCAAGTGTGAAAAACCTCGCGGATTTTTAGACAGGGGCGACCCCTAGCACCCAAAATTATAGAGAGAATCTAATATATGTTAATCTTGTTTTGTTTATAAATCTGATATAAACATTCATTATATTAGTTGCATTTTAGTTATATGTATACTGCATGTATAAAAATGTTTTGAATTTCCAAAATAACACCCCACCCTTAAAAATATAATAATCATGGTTAGCTTAAATTTATTCTATGCTTTATCATTTTAATTTTTATGTACAGCACACAGGCACTTGTTCGGAAATAATTTTTAAACCCATAGTATAATAATAACACCTTTTGTTATTATTATACTATCGGTTTAATAATTTCCGAAACAAGTGCCTGTGCTACAGCATTATTTTACAAATAAGAAAACTATTACTCAGTATAAAAATGCGAAATTTTATTTATTTAAAAAGGAACACAACTGTGAACATGATGGATAAAACAAAACATCAAAAAACATGAAAGAAACGTTCTGAAAGAGGGTAACCTTGTTTGTTCTTTTAGTTATTACCATAGGGAGTTCCTATATTATACTAATTCATGTATCATATCAAAGGTGTATATTAAATTAAAATTTGCGTGTCGTACTCCGAAAATAAAAATGACGTTTTTTAGGAGGGTCTTTCTTTTCTTTTCTTCTTTTATTTCTTGGAAAAATCATACCAGTACAAAAAACGGCTAAATCCCATTTAAAAAAAAAACAAAACTTTTGCATAGGAACTCCTGAATAGTAAGCATGGAAAAAGGTAGGTTAACTTTATGTGGATGTCTAATAAATAAAATTTGTTTTGAGTTTCAACGTACAGAAGCAGAATGACATGTAAAAAAAATCATATCAAAGTAAAAATATAATACAAATAAACGTATAATTAATATAAATTAATTTTAAAGTTTGTCGTGCGAATAACGTTTATTATTCGCACGACCGTCGTGCGAATAACTTTAGTTATCGGCACGACCGTCGTGCGGATAACATCGGTAATTAGCACGACCGTCGTGCGGATAGCCTCGGCCATTGGGCAGTGTCTATATACACGACCGTCGTGTATGTAATTTCAAAGACTATTCGCACGACCGTCGTGTATATAATTTCAATGACTATTCGCACGATCGTCGTGTATATAATTTCAATGACTATTCGCACGACCGTCGTGTATATAATTTCATTGACTATTTACACAACCGTCGTGTAAAACATTAAACATGCATTGTATTTATCTTCCCTTGTTTGAATGCGAGACGGTTCGTCCCCACAGACCATTCGCACTGAGGCGTTTCGTCCCAATTAAGACGGTTCGCATGTACGACCAATTACTTGGTTACAAAGTGGGGGGCCAACCATCTTTTCAATAGACATTTTCTATAGTAAAGGTAATGTTGGGGGAAAAAGTTGGGGGGGGGGCAGGCCCCCCCTGCCCCCCCCCCCCCCGATACTAAGTGCCTGTTTTATACGTATACTTAATTTTGATTAGTGGAAAGAAGGTGATTTTTTGTGAGAACCGTAAAGGAAGTGGAAAGTTTCCTCTTCATTATATAAAGAACATACATGTAAATTGCTTTCGATTATACCGACTCCGTTTTTTTTAAATAAAATTTAAAAAAAAACCACGAACATGCTTTCAACGATGTCATGTTATTGTATGCTCAAACCTGATATGTGAATTATACAATGTTTTATTTTAGATTTTCCAAAATTCATTGACCTTACTGGCAAAAACCGATAGAATATCAAAATATTTGAGCAGTGCAAGTCGGGCACAATCTGAAAAAAAAACATGAAAACTATTATAATTTAATGCGTAGACTAGATCACATAATTATTATAATAATGTGTGAAATATCCACATTACCATGATCTTACAGGGAAAAAAGACTTCATATACTATATAGATCTGCAGAAAATGAGAAATAAAAGAATTTGCAGGAAAGATCTTGTTTTACTTGATTATATCGTGAATTTCGACCCAGTAGACGCCCGCTGGATTAGTTATGCTTCAATGCACTCATTAAATTGCACCACGTTGACCAGCAAACAGCACCTGTCAAACTGGTAAAAATTGTGACAAAAATTCACCTTCTTTGGGCGGCTCAATAAAATGACTGTTCGGACTGTTCAATAAAATAAATTCTTGGTTTGTAGAAATAAAACATTTTCTTCTTGATTAATACTTGGCTACTCACCGACTTTTTTGCAAGCAAAGGGGGGGGGGGGGGGGGGGGGGGGGGAGGACTGGCGACTTGGCAAGGTCAAAAGTAGATTTATTCACACAATGTGATCATCAATGCTTGGTTATGTTGACAGATTGATTTTTTATTGAAAGGGGTGGTATAATAAATTCAAAAATATAATATATTTGATTTTATTTATTTTCCGTCTCCATAACATATTCTTGAAAAAATCTCGATTAAATGAAACTTATTAAAACAAAACACACACACAAGAAAAGGTAAAATAAGAAGCACAGTATTTATAAATTGTTTTAATTTGTAGCCCATGCACGTAATTCAATACACTGACGGGTATAAAATAATAAAATGAAGGTATATTAGATCTGGAAGCAATTTTGGGGAACGTAAGTAAACTGTACACTTTCAATAAAAATGGACATAAGGAATAATCAGATATTTTAGTATTTTTTATTTTATTTAAGTTTAGTACTAAACTGCAAATTCTGAAAAATAATTGCTGAAAAAGTTGCATCATTGTGTTCACTAGTCAAAACAATTAATAACAAGAAAACATTGATGTAACCATCAATTGTCGCCCGGGAAATATATAAAGTAAACAATGGAAATGATCTTTGATCATCAAACCGCTTCGATACGTGTGAAAAGGCATGCGTCTAATTGATGGAGACGATAGTCGCGAATATTTGGAAAACTTATAGTCGGATAAATGTCAAACAAAAACGATACGATTTAAAACTTCAGTTCCTCGAGTAAATGTTGGCTGCATAAAATATAAATTGAAGGTAGACACATGCATCACCTATATTCAAAAATGTATTAATTTTCAATTTTAGAATATAAAACACGAAGTGTGCATAGTACGTTTTTATGCGAGAAGTAAAATTCGATGATCTAAAACAGGGGACCTGTCGTTTTTTCGATAGTAAATGATAAACAACTTTGTATATTAAATGTGAAAAACATATCTATTTTTAGAGAATCACTTTATGGAAGTAAATATATTAAGTATCTCGTAATTTATAAAAGAAAAGAACATTCTGATAAACAATCTTTTCCATGTTTGAAAAACCTTCAATTCTACATAACTACTCCCACCCCAATCCCCATACACCAACACTTAAACTTATATGTATAGAGCAGCCCGGTCCTCCGGGCTGCAATGACGTCTTCGATACGAAGTTCGAAACGTGCTGGTCTCGAGAAGTTTGGGGACGAATTTAGGGTACGGACGAATTTAGGGTACACCACTATAAATGCGGTCGGTCGTGTACATATCTCCGGTAATGTGCAATTGCTATATATGTAAGACGGTCGTTTTACTTAATATCTATGCACGACGGTCGTGTATGTATCTCATTACTTTGCAATAGCTATTCGCACGACGGTCGTGTAAATAGACTTTCCATATAGTGTGCACAACGGTCGTGTATATATCATCGGCCTTGATATTGTGTATTTTGAATATTTATGTCGAATGTTTGAGCCCCACTTTCCCCTCCTGGCTCCTTAATCATATTTTCGTTGTTGATACTAATAGCAGTTCACACAATCTATAATTTAATATGTTCTACGGTGCGACCGTTGGGGCGAGCGCAGTTATTTACTATCAAAAACATTTACCATTTTGTTTACACAGCTTTAACTTGCACTGATTATCCCAAGTTCATTAATAAAAGAAAATAAAAAGAAATCACTTCCCAGGCATCGGGATCGAGATTCCGGAATTCTCGGAAATTTCCGACAAAATCGGAAATACCCGAGCCGTTTAAGTGATGAAATTGTGACGTCAAATAGAAAACCCTGTTGCCTTAGGATGTAAACGATAGTTTTTGTGGCTTGGAGATTGCATTATATCGTGTTTGTAATTTTTTCAAGGAAATTGTTGCTATGTTTTAGCCACCATGTTGCTATGCACCGCAAAGGATTATTGGGATTGAAGAATGTTTTCACGTGGATTCATAACATTTTCTTGGAACAATGTGCAGATTTCATTCCGAATTTCCTCCGTTCGTACACGTTAGTCTATTGAGCTCGCTATGCGAGCGGCGCTTTGCGCCGCCTCGCTGCGCTCGCTATAATAATATTTGCCTATAACCTCAATATATTTATTTGTGCATATATACTTGTAGTTAGAGAAAGAGATTACCCAGATTCAAAAAAAGGATTTGTGTAAATTTCTTGCGTTTGTATTTTTGAAATGTTAACACATAACCTTTTATTGATGTCATTATTTATTTTATAACCTGTAACTCTTCAGAAAAATGCCTTGGGATATTGTCAGTTCCGATTTTGGAGGAGAAGAAACGGTCAACTTTGGTCCGCGAGAGGAGTCAGGGTCGGCACTGTACCAGATTGATACCCTGGCTACAATATCGTCACAACAAAAGGTTTGAGGCATAGACATGATGTCGTGTTTTAATATCAGTATGGAACATAAGAGCTTGTCACACTTTATTTTGTCTTCTTACTTTTTGATTAATGCTTGGTTTTGATATTGGTAGCTGTGGTCAAAAAGTCAGAAGACAGATAAAATCTGCCAAGCCAATGAAAGTAGACAGCAAGCCTGTCACTTCTACTTACATTATAAGAGATTTTCTACAATCTTTTATGATAAATTCTTTGCTTATTTCCGAAATTATGTGACAAGTGAAGATAAGCAAATTAAAACTTTCCATTGAATATGTGTTGTTAGACTTTCCAAAAAGTTAATTATGATTTCTGTTGTTGAATGTTCTGTATTTATATAAATGTATATCATGTATATTACTTATGCTGCATATGAATTTAAATGCAATCTTTCAGAACTACTGATAAACATGTAAATCCTAATCAATAAAAATCCTTATTTAACGAATTGAATGACTATAATTTGTTGAATATACTTGAAATTTTGGTCCTAATTTTGTAGGAGGCAGAAGTTCCCCACATTGAGAGTTCAGTGAGAGGAGAATTAGCTTGTCTGTCTGTAGATAGGCATGTCTCTGTGTTCACCGATTGTCAGCACACAACCACTTTGGCTTATGGTGAGTTAACTCTGTGTGATTTGAGTGTCAGCAATGTGATGCTGGTACTTGAGTTTTTAATCAAGTTTATTTTTAATGTGCAGATTAAAGACTGGAAATCTTCATCACTGCACTGCTGGATGCACTTCAGCTGTACAGATGTTCTTAATTTTGACTATTAAAGTCACTATACTACTGTAAATCACTTTTTATTTGCGAGAACTTAATTACACGAGACAATGCGTTCACGAAAATTTAATTCTCGCATAAAAAAGTATTCCTTATGATTATATATAGAGGAATAACAACTATTCGTGAAAATTATGTCTCGCTTACTAAGAGTCAATGACAATCTCGCGAAAATTTAGTGATCTACAGTAGTGATGGAACGATTGTCGCCGACAATCGATTGTCGGTCGTTGGAAGCTCTTCGATGCTACTAATCGATTAAAAAATTAATGTCGCCGACATCGCTAACAAAAAATAAAATTGTCATACTTTAATTTTATTACCAAATCCAAGTGCAAAGAGGATTAAAGTAGTGATGAATGTTGAAAACATGGAAGGATTCCGTGTCTTGTTGATACTTTTACCGCCATGATTAAATATGGGGTTAGACTAATACCAGGAAACGGTATTATTGCAAGGTTTTACTATACAAAGGAAAACATACAGTAATTAGTCTAGTCAATCTTTAAACGTAATTATAATCATAAATACAAGTCTAACTTCTGGATAATTAATTTGAAACTTGCAATTTTAACTACTAATTAAAACAAATTTTAAGAAATAAAAACACTGTACATGTATTAAATGAAAGGTGGGACTAATATCAGTAAAATACCCATTGCATGGACATTCTAAAAAATAAATTTCCATTCTGTTTAAATAGTCCTATATTGTTTAAAGTAAATAAAATATTATTTTCCACTTTTTAAAAATAATTCAATTAACATTTTTGAATATTTTATATATTAAGTAAATGTTGTTGTTGTTTTTTTTTTTGTAAAAGTCTGACAGAAATCTGAATAAGTTTTAACTTTTTAATATAAATTTCATAAAAGTTCAAAATTTCGATTATAATCGATTATTAATCGATTATGCCCAGCCGATTATTACCGATAATCGATTCTGATTTTTTTCCGATTCCCCATCACTTATCTACAGTATATTATTTAAAAATGAGAATTGTTACTCTGTATTGTCAAAAACTCAAAATGTCATGACAAATTTAGATAAGGAAAGTATTTAAAACTAAAATTTGATTAATGGAAAGGAACAATAAAAAAAGAAAATAAAACTATAAGAAAAGGAACAAACGAAAATCAAATTTTCTTAGATTTAAAAAAAAATTCTTTCAATGGTCAGATACTGTATTTATGGGCATACATGTGACAGAACTGAACAGTCACAACTGGAGATTTGAAATTTTTCAGCTGGAGTTTGGGTTTCAAAGCTGGAGATTTTTTATCGACATTTTTTTCAAATCGCAAAAGACCATCCAACCTCCTCAAAAATGCTGTATCCCTCTTTATTTGCTTAAAATAATTTTAATTTCATAAAGTCTAGCTTTAAAATAATATGTTAGAATTTTTATTCAAATGATCAGAAGTGAAATTGAATCAAAATAAAATTAATTCATTGGAATTAAATAAGAGTTAACATCTTCATTAAAACATTGAATAAAATTTTATTTTTGGTATTTGGTATTGACACATCAACCAGTAAGTGAAATAAAACATAGGTCTTATGTAACAGATTTTATGTCAGGAATTTGTTTTTAAATAGAATATGAAGAGATAAAATTAACTTCTCTGAAAAATGAAAAATACAACAAAGTAGAGAGAGGTATATTTTTTGGCAGTAAATGAATTAAAACATGGGTCTTATGTAACATATTTTATGTCAGTATTTTTTTTTTTAAAATCAAATATGAAGAGATAAAATTAACTTAGCTAGAAATACAACAAAGTAGAGTCAGGTATATTTTTTAGCAACACCCTGTAGTTTGAACTATTTTTAACGAAAATGTGACCCCGATTATAACTGTTTCTTTTAATGACCACTGCAGCATTAGAAGATGACAATTGGGTATTTTAGCAACTAATTACAATGTTCTGCATTCAGCAGTTTGCCAATAAAACATTGATGGTCATTTATCAAGTTGATATATCACTAATTTTTACAACCGAATTATACGACCTCATGTTGATTACTACGAAGCCTACCGCTGTGAAAATTTATTGCACTGCCGTTGTTATCTCATTCTAAGCAATATTATAAGAAACATGATAAAAACTAGAGCCGAGCTCGTTGCAAAGCAACGAGTAGGTCTTCCGTCCTGTTTGACCGGAAGTAACTTTCATTTAAAAAAAGAGTAATGAGAGTCCAAAAATGGGTTAATCCTCCAAATCTATGTTAAGTATTGCAAAATTAAGCCATTCTTCGGTACTTCCAGTTTGACCGGAAGTGACGACGACGGACGGAAAATTAATATTTAAGCTTCTAGTGACACATGTTAACCAAAAACCTGTCAAAAACGGCAAAAATATGCATTTTCTGACTACTTCCGGTTCGACCGGAAGTGACGTCGCCGGACGTATTTTGACGACCCCATTAGATAAAGCTTGATATTTTGAACAACTTAACTTCTTTGATGTATAACAAGTTCTTAATACTTTTTGAGATATCTGGAAAAAACTTTTGGCCCCTCTAGGTCCCTTAATTTAGGGGTCAGCCCTTTTTTCGACATATCATTTGAAAGATCTTCTAATTCTGCACAAATTATGTTCTATATATTTTAACAAAATATTTTTAGTTTAGAAGATAAAAAGAAAAATGTGAGTAATTTTTTCTTTTAAGCGTTCTAATTTTTGACCCCTATATAGCGCCATTTTGAATAGAGAAATCGAAAAACAAAAACCGATGTGCACAACTTCAATCCTTCTATTATCTAAAATCAGTAGAATTACTGCTCCAGCTTTAGCCGTCTCTGAGCCTTTGTCTGGAAACGAAAGCCTATAAATTTTCCTTTAAAGGGAAATAACTCAAAACCGGAAGTGGCTTTTTGAAATTTTCGACAGCATTCTGATAGAGTTTTTTAACGTCTATAACGTCTGAAAATTTGAGCGAAATCCGTTGAGAAATGAGCGAGATATGAGGCCTCAAAGTTGCGGTCTAGGAAGCAGAAGAAAAAAAAGAATAATAATCTTTACCAACAGAATCAGTAGAAGGTCTTCCGTTGGAAACGGAAGACCTTAATTAATGCAAAATATATTTAATTTGAAGAATTATTTTAAACACGGAAGATTTAAAAATTAATCGGGAGGGGCAGAAGGGGGGTTGAAAATCGGGAGAATCACATGTATGTTCATGGGTCATAAATCCTTTAAAAACATTCAAGATTTTTAATAAAGATCATTTTTCCACATTTGCAATCAAATGTTTTGGTACTTTATTACATTAATTACAAAAAAGATTTTAGCCTTGTGTGTTGTTTACATAGATGCTGTTATAGAAGAAATGGCCCTGAGTGAGGATGGGGGACTGATGATTCTGGGGGATTCTTCAGGGAGGCTCCATATTCTGAACACAGAGACCTGTAAAATGATCTTCTCTCATGTAAGTACACACTGTCTACTGTAAACTGATCTTCTCTCATATAAGTACACACTGTCTACTGTAAAATGATCTTCTCTCATGTAAGTACATACTGTCTACTGTAAAATGATCTTCTCTCATGTTAGTACACACTGTCTACTGTAAAATGATCTTCTCTCATGTAAGAACATACTGTCTACTGTAAAATGATCTTCTTTCATGTAAGTACATACTGTCTACTGTAAAATGATCTTCTCTCATGTAAGTATACACTGTCTACTGTAAAATGATCTTCTCTCATGTAAGTACATACTGTCTACTGTAAAATGATCTTCTCTCATGTAAGTACACACTGTCTACTGTAAAATGATCTTCTCTCATGTAAGTACATACTGTCTACTGTAAAATGATCTTCTCTCATGTAAGTACACACTGTCTACTGTAAAATGATCTTCTCTCATGTAAGTACACACTGTCTACTGTAAAATGATCTTCTCTCATGTAAGTACACACTGTCTACTGTAAAATGATCTTCTCTCATGTAAGTACACACTGTCTACTGTAAAATGATCTTCTCTCATGTAAGTACACACTGTCTACCGTAAAATGATCTTCTCTCATGTTAGTACATACTGTCTACTGTAAAATGATCTTCTCTCATGTAAGTACATACTGTCTACTGTAAAATGATCTTCTCTCATGTAAGTACACACTGTCTACTGTAAAATGATCTTCTCTCATGTAAGTACACACTGTCTACTGTAAAATGATCTTCTCTCATGTAAGTACACACTGTTTACTGTAAAATGATCTTCTCTCATGTAAGTACATACTGTCTACTGTAAAATGATCTTCTCTCATGTTAGTACACACTGTCTACTGTAAAATGATCTTCTCTCATGTAAGTACACACTGTCTACTGTAAAATGATCTTCTCTCATGTAAGAACATACTGTCTACTGTAAAATGATCTTTTCTCATGTAAGAACATACTGTCTACTGTGAAATGATCTTCTCTCATGTAAGTACACACTGTCTACTATAAAATGATCTTCTGTCATGTAACACACTGTTTACTGTAAAATGATCTTTCCTCATGTTAGTACACACTGTCTACTGTAAAATGATCTTCTTTCATGTAAGTACACACTGTCTACTGTAAAATGATATTCTCTCATGTTAGTACACACTGTCTACTGTAAAATGATCTTTTCTCATGTTAGTACACACTGTCTACTGTAAAATGATCTTCTGTCATGTAAGTACACATTGTCTACTGTAAAATGATCTTCTCTCTCATGTAAGTACACACTGTCTACCGTAAAATGATCTTCTCTCATTTGAGTACACACTGTCTACTGTAAAATGATCTTCTCTCATGTAAGTACATACTGTCTACTGTAAAATGATCTTCTCTCATGTAAGTACACACTGTCTACTGTAAAATGATCTCTCATGTAAGTACACACTGTCTACTGTAAAATGATCTTCTCTCATGTAAGTACATACTGTCTACTGTAAAATGATCTTCTCTCATGTTAGTACATACTGTCTACTGTAAAATGATCTTCTGTCATGTAAGTACACACTGTTTACTGTAAAATGATCTTCTCTCATGTAAGTACACACTGTTTACTGTAAAATGATCTTCTCTCATGTTAGTACACACTGTCTACTGTAAAATGATCTTCTCTCATGTAAGTACACACTGTTTACTGTAAAACAGACTTGTCTACCCTTCTGCTTTTGGCGTAATTCTTCCGCTTTTTACCACATAATTACGCTATTACGCCACTGATATTAATATTACGCTTTTGCTATTTTGGTTTAAATCCATTATAAACGTTTAAGTTTAAGAGTCAAAGATCAACCTGCTGAAATAAAATGAGAAGTTCTAGTTAAAGTAATTAATAGAGGACCAGTTTGATAACTAACGTTATATACCTTATACGTATATGGAAACCGGTATGGCCAAGATTCGGTATGACTCCTTACTTCGCGACTCTAGAGGAGATGCTCTAACCACTGCGCCACGCGGGCGACGAAGAACACGAGATCGCACTGCTTACCTCAACTATTAAATGATATTGCAATAAATATGCCCATTTCTATGCTCAAGTTAGTTCACTTTAACATTGCTTTGAACAAGATAGAGAAATGTGAGTGTTAAAAAGAAAAATAAGTGTTATTATGTACAATTTGTATAAACATGCAAACGCAAGCCTTCAATTAAGTGATCTGATACACATTGACCAAATGCTTCATTAAGGGTGTGCGGTTTATTTGAGTTTAATATAAGATACTGATATTTTACAACACTTTTTTGTCAATAGATGATTCGAAAAAAAAGTTTATGCAAGGTTTGTTTAGTAATGTACAATTTAGGTGGGTTTGAAAGATAAAAAGTACAATTGTAAAAACACAAAGTCAGAAAACATGATTAATTACGCTTTAACCTCTGAAATTCCACCAAAAAATTTCTGAAATTACACCCTTGAAACGAAAAGGGTAGGCAGGTCTGGTAAAATGATCTTCTCTCATGTTAGTACACAATGTCTACTGTAAAATGATCTTCTGTCATGTAAGTACACACTGTCTATTGTAAAATGATCTTCTCTCATGTAAGTACACAGTGTTTACTGTAAAATGATCTTCTCTCATGTTAGTACACACTGTCTACTGTAAAATGATCTTCTATCATGTAAGTACACACTGTCTACTGTAAAATGATCTTCTCTCATGTAAGTACACACTGTCTACTGTAAAATGATCTTCTCTCTCATGTAAGTACATACCGTCTACTGTAAAATGATCTTCTCTCATGTAAGTACATACTGTCTACTGTAAAATGATCTTTTCTCATGTAAGTACACACTGTCTACTGTAAAATGATCTTCTCTCTCATGTAAGTACACAGTGTCTATTGTAAAATGATCTTCTCTCATGTAAGAACATACTGTCTACTGTAAAATGATCTTTTCTCATGTAAGTACATACTGTCTACTGTAAAATGATCTTTTCTCATGTAAGTACACACTGTCTAGTGTAAAATGATCTCTCTCATGTAAGTACACACTGTCTATTGTAAAATGATCTTCTCTCATGTAAGTACACACTGTCTACTGTAAAATGATCTTCTCTCATGTTAGTACACACTGTCTACTGTAAAATGATCTTCTCTCATGTTAGTACACACTGTCTACTGTAAAATGATCTTCTCTCATGTAAGTACACACTGTCTACTGTAAAATGATCTTCTCTCATGTAAGTACACACTGTCTACCAGGGTCCGACACTCGTCAAAATTTGGTCTCGCCATTTGGGCAACCTTGGTATGATCACAGGTTGCCCGAATGAATTTCAGGTCGTCCAAATAAAATGTCAAATGAAACAAAACTTAATGTGCAAGTGCTTAAAATTTGTTAAGATAATTAACAGAAGAAACTGTTGTACTTTTGTATTAAAAAATGTAAACCAGACATTTTTGGAATGAAAGATGCCTTCTAGTATTTTATCATACAAAAATATAAGCTGAATCTGACATGCAGAATGCTAAAGTTTGTATTTTAAAACATTCATTTTAACTAACCTTGAAGGCCTAAATAAATTTATGGGGACAAATAATCCTGGACTGAATTAACTAGGTGTTATATTACAGTGGACACCCAACATGGCTGTCTAGCAGCAGAAAACGATCATCATATGATCAGAAAGTTGCAGGGGAAATGCAAGATGTTACAATGATGATTATTACTCTTTGTATTTAAGGTGATTGTTGTCACTAAGTTGACGTATTTTATACCTCAAATAAAATTTATTAAAGACTTTTGGTAAAAATTGCATCAGCTGATTGATTGAACACAGATTTGGCAGGAAGAAAAATTTAAGCGGCTGCAATTAGAACATGTTGAATGGGTTGGTTTTGTTACAGAAAAATATGTATTCAAGGCCTTATGAAGTTTATTTTAAAATATTAAAACATCATTATTAAACATTCACAACTTGTCCCAGGTCGTCATTTGGGCGAGCCAGACTGAAAATCAAGTCGTCCGAAATCATTTCTAGATGGAAATGACGAGGTGACGAGCGCGAATGTCGAACCCTGGTCTACTGTAAAATGATCTTCTCTCATGTTAGTACATACTGTCTACTGTAAAATGATCTTCTCTCATGTAAGTACACACTGTCTACTATAAAATGATCTTCTCTCATGTTAGTACACACTATCTACTGTAAAATGATCTTCTCTCATGTAAGTACACACTGTCTACTGTAAAATGATCTTCTCTCATGTTAGTACACACTGTCTACTGTAAAATGATCTTTTCTCATGTAAGTACACAGTGTCTATTGTAAAATGATCTTCTCTCATGTAAGTACACACTGTCTACTGTAAAATGATCTTCTCTTATGTAAAAACACATTGTCTACTGTAAAATGATCTTCTCTCTCATGTAAGTACATTCTGCCTACTGTAAAATGATCTTCTCTCATGTTAGTACATACTGTCTACTGTAAAATGATCTTCTCTCATGTAAGTACATACTGTCAACTGTAAAATGATCTTCTCTCATGTAAGTACATACTGTCAACTGTAAAATGATCTTCTCTCATGTAAGTACACACTGTCTACTGTAAAATGATCTTCTCTCATGTAAGTACACACTGTCTACTGTAAAATGATCTTCTCTCATGTAAGTACACTGTCTACTGAATCTATTACCTCAAAAAATGTATAAACACATCTGACCAGCCAATATTATTGATATCAATTTCTAAAAATACATGTATGAACTGTGATACAAAAGGCATCCTTATGAAGAATTACGTACACAAAACTATGTATTTGCCATTTCATTAATATTTGTTTATTTTATGTTATCAAAACAAAGAGGAACAAAATATGGATAGCATTAACAAAAATGTGTTTTTCAAAATTGAATAAAATATATTCATATTTTTTTGCAGATTTGAATACTGAAAACATTTCATTCTTTCTAAAAAATAACAAATGAATTTAATTCTTTCATGTTGTTGTAGATTGTTACACCGCCTAACAGAATGGGGAAAACATTTAGTCGGATCAAGTGTTTTGATGCAGGAGAAGGTAATCCATATGTCTTAGATGTATATATTAAAGAGAAATCTGTAATGTGCAATTTCATATCTGTATTTATCTTCATAACTTCCATGAAAACTGCCTTTAATTATTTCATAGGTACAAAATGAGAGATCTGTGTGTTTTTAGTGCTTGCATTGCTATTTTGTTTGTTAATTTTACATGTATTTTATTTCAGTTTAATGATTTTAATTTATATATAAATTTCTTTATATCTGAAGACAACCCCTGTGTTCGTAAACATGGGTTCAAGCACTGTTTTTGTTAATGTTTATTATGCTTTACCAGGTGTGTTCGATTTGCTAACATTGCACACATCACTGAACACAACCTGACAGCACTTGTCTATTGCATTTGCATTCTACATTTCTATTCTGACTTTTCCTGATGAAAATTTTCTTATATTAATACTGCACAGATTTCTGAATTCTATGGAATTTGATGTATAAATTTTGTTTTACAGTATTATAATGAAAGTTGCGGATGTGAAACAATTTAAAAATGCCCGATAATTATGATTAAATGTTCAGTTATAAAGTTATAAATATCAAGTTTCTATACATGTTTTTATAATGCTTATCTTTCTGAAATGCTCTTGCAATGTGTACATGCATAACTGTCAATCATAAAATTCTACCAAAGACAATTTTTTTACCTTGTAAGTATGCTTTAAGTGCCTATAATAATTTCAGGTTTGTACAATTTATTTGTGCTGGCAGTCAGTGGAGAGCTGAAAATCTTGAAGAGTATTAACAAGGAAACATTCCTGGCTGGAGGAGGTGAGGTCCTTTATTTATATCTAGGGTATGGCTATGGTACAGCCATAGTTTAGATAATATTTTTATCTATGGTATAGATAGATTTAATAACAAGTAAACTCTTTTTATTATCATTTTTTAGAAATTATGTATAAGTATATTAGTGTATCTTTTCTTTAGAATGGTGTCACTTTATGTTGGTAATGAATTCTGCATGTATAATACTGTACATCTGTTAATAAAATATATGTGTACATGTCCATTACATGTATTTACAAGGTTCAATTTTATAGATCTGAAAGTATGATGGTACATGACCCGATATGTACATGTACATTGTACAACTATATTGTAAGTCTTTCATAGTATCATTGTATCTATGACTATTTCAGACGGGATTCGAACCATGCTGAAGGAGAAACTGATCTCTACCAATGTTAGTGAGGTCCATTCCTCAGTAACTGACTTACTGTGTTTGAATGACTGCTTCATCACCATGGTAATGAGTAAACTATGTTTAGAGTTTTTGTTGTTTGACTCTGAAACCCTTTCATAAAAAATATGAAGCATAGTAATATTTTTCCTAATGCACCTTTTTGATGTTAAATATAAATGAAGACCAATCCCAGTAAGTATTTTTGTCAGATTGTTTATAATAGATTTTTTTGCATGAATTGATTTATACATTGTACATGTAGGTACCTACACTAAAAGTATGTGAACAACTTTCAAATCTTGAACTGCTAATTAAAAAATATCTTGCAAGATTAAGCTGATGTTAAATTTTTTTTTTTTCGTAGTATATCACATATGCATTTTTGGAGGTGAATTGTCAAGAATATTGGATTTGATTATAAAACAGCTGACTTGCTTGGTTGTAGGGGATTGGAAATGGAATTCTGGGAGTTTGGGAATGGGAAGACAGGGAAGCAGTTCTGGATGAAGAAGTTGGAGATTACTTAATCTCAGGTAAAATAGGAGATTACTTAATCTCAGGTAAAAGTTGGAGATTTCTTAATCTTAGGTTAAAGTTGGAGGTTACTTAATCTTCAGTAAAAGTTGGAAATCTTTTAATCTCAGGTAAAATTAGTGATAGCTTAATCTTCATTAAAATTGGAGATTACCTGATGAAAAAATGTCATTGATATATTTCTTCAAGAAAGTAACGAAGATACTCATAACATTCTACTGTATTTTATGTGACACATGCATGTTTTATAAATAAATACTCATGAAAATTAAAGCTGATGTACTATTATAATTTTTACTAAGAGTTAGGAAACTGTAAATCCAACAGTTCTAATTTCAGCCTCTGGAATTGTTCAAGGAAAAGTCACAAGTGATGGAAATTTCTTATTCTCACTGGATACAAAGGTACATGTTTGATTTCTGTCAGTGACAATGAGTCATATAAAACATGTACAGATTATTCTAATGATTGTTTTTGTTTTTAGGGTAATTTGTGTCTATGGAGCACTCAGGCCTGGTTTCTTCTGAATCAATGGACAGAGGTCAAAGTTCAGGAGTTTCAGTTGTTAGAAACAAGAGAAGTTCAGAATCAGGGGTAAGCATGGTAAAAGTAAAGAATCTGGACATAAACAATGCAGTAGTTAAATTAATGTACTGGTATTATTAGTCCCTCAGTCTTGCCCATGTAGTTTTCTGAACTTTTGTTCTAAACACAATTTAAACATTAAGGTATACTGAAAACAATATACATAAAGTCAAGTGTTCATTATTCCATAACAGAAGTTAATCACATATGTCTTATGTTGTCTGTGAGCCTTTTGTATTCAATTTGACTTGCAGTAGACCTGCAGAAAATCTTATTTCTTTTTCAATGTTTTATTATAACATTCCAGATTACAGGACCTGTGGCTAGCTCTGATCACTAGAGTATTGCTTTATTATAACTTTCCAGGTTACAGGACCTGCGGCTAGCTCTGATCACCACACCAGTAGAAGGCCACAGTACACTGAGGATCCAAAGTCTGCCAAACTTTGAGAATATTTACAACCTACAGCTGAATGCCCCCTGCTTCATCTCAGACTGTCTGCCCTCACAGGTAAGCTTAGAATGTATCAGATGTTCTCAGGTAAGGTTATTATGTATCAGATATTCACAGGTAAAGTTATTGTGTATCAGATCTTCACAGGTAAAGTTATTGTGTATCAGATCTTCACAGGTAAGGTTGTTGTATATCAGATCTTCACAGGTAAGGTTATTTTGTATCAGATCTTCGCAGGTAAGGTTATTGTGTATCAGATATTCACAGGTAAGGTTATTTTGTATCAGATATTCACATGTAAGGTTATTGTGTATCAGATGTTCACAGGTGAGGTTATTATGTATCAGATGTTCACAGGTAAAGTTATTGTGTATCAGATGTTCACAGGTGAGGTTATTATGTATCAGATGTTCACAGGTAAATTTTAAATCTTCACAGGTAAGGTTATTTTTATATCAAATCTCCATAGGTTATTTTATTATTCAGCACAGTTCCTTGTGATGTTTTGTCTCTTAAAATTTGTTGATCATTATGGTGAAGTGGATTTGATTAAAGGGAATGAAGATGTTTACGAATGATTTGTTAATACACTTTTTTGGGGAAAAAAAGCTTGGTTTAAGACTGTTTGGTTAAGAAACAAATAAATGCTTGTTACATATGCTTAAGCTTCATAATAAATATTGAATGTATTTTCTTTCAGGAATATTTATTTGTAGTCGAGTGTTGCCCTGATGTAGAGTAAGTGTTTAAGCATTTCATCGTTTTCATAGATTTATCAATTTCAGTTGAAATACAAGATGCAGAGTATTTCATTAATGTTAATTACAATCTGTGTTTAGATGTCCCAATCTGGTGTCAACAGTAAGATTCCGTTGTCTGACTGAGACCAATCCAGAAACCAGGTAACTATAGCAAACGAGGACATTTTTTTAAAGATATAAAATAAATAGAGCTTTTGTTATAAACTTCCATAATGATAGTTCTTCAGCATTTGCATCTCTGCTTGTATGTAATGGCTACATGCACTTCAGAGATTTTTGATTGGTCCTTCACAAATTTGTTGATGTAAGTTATTTGTCATGGAATTTTTTTTTCTTCAGACTATATAGGATACTCTCTAAAAAGAAATTTGAAGAAGCAGTGCTGTTTGCCAAGATGTATCATTTAGAAATTGATGTAAGTATAAGACTGCCTATCATACAAAAGTATAACAAAACTCTGATAAGTAATAATATTATGTGACATTGCCTCCCTTGTTACTGTAGCACGTATACAAAGTAAAAGTGAATTACCTGCTGGAGCAGTTGTCTCCCTGGAATATGAAGAAATATACAGAAGAGACTACTAATGACCTGATACAGCAGCTCTGGGAATGTCTACAGTTTGTCAAGGTTAGGATTCTAAGATATGTTTATATTCTGTAATTCAATATATTGTTTGTTCATTTCTGGTTTTTTGAGTCACATGTATGTACAATTTGACTGGTGCCTCTAGCTTTGTGCATCACTGGTGTCTCTATCTCTCTTCATGCATCACATTTATGCCTGTCTGTAAAAGTAAACTATGTGCTGTATCAGACTTTAATCTTCTTAATATTCTGTATCTTTGTCATGAAGGACACAAATAGACACAGATCAAGTTTTAAAATGGTTTAAATAGAACTTGATCTTTAAATTTTGCTCTTAAAATTTTCTGGGTCTCATGTCCTATGTTATGAAATGTTAATAAATGTATAGAAATAAAGGACAAATGAGTACTACAGTTACATTTGTTTTCAGTCTTTACAGCTCTGTCATGAAGTTATACTGTGTGTTTGAATGTTTCAGGATGATTTAGAGCTTATAGAGAACTGTATGAACTCAGCCCTCCCTACACTGGTCCTCACACAACAGATGTTGGAGCACTGCAGGAAAATGGCGAGTGTATTTAATGAAAACATCAACCCACCCACCCCCCTTCCCAGAAAAAGAAGAAAAACAAAAAAAACCTAAAATTAAAAATAAATTTGGGAGGAGAAGCAAAGAACATTATGTGTAAAGTTTTTCTTTAAAGCCCGAGATAAACTGCACCGCCTTCAGATTTACCTGGTCTGTATCCCCCTGTCAATCAAATAAATTAAGGTCCATCATTGGGTACTTGAAATTGATTGACAGTTAGCTACTAGTCCCTGTGTATATCTCTTTCACCTTGTTTGACACGCGTGGCCACCATCAAATTAACTTTCGGTCTTCCTGATGTTCACCGCTAAATTATCATCGTAATAAGGAAGCCATTTTGATGCTAACAATTTCAGCTTGATTATAATTAATTAATTATCTGTATACTGCAACATGTCATTAAAAAATGAATTTTAATCTCATTGTATTTCAATACAATAAATCAAGATTGTGTATATTTTTATGCCCCCCTTCGAAGAAAAGAGGGCATATTGCTTTGCTGCTGTCGGTCCGTCGGTCTGTCGGTCCACATAGTTTCCGTTCATTTTCTTGGCAACCGTTGCTCATACTGAAATGAAATTTGGTAAACAGATATATCACATGAATATCTAGGGCAAGTTCTGTTTCAGGTACGATCGCGC